AGAAAAGGAAAGAAGAAGAAAAAGAAAAAAAATATGGGTAGAAAACCCCACAGAACTGATAATCCAACAAGCACACAAAAAAAAAAATACCTGGAAAAAAGGGGGGCAGAATCTGTAGAGGTAAAGCTTATATATACAGAAAATAAGGTTAAGGAATTGGATGAATAGGGGAAGATCACGGTTTAGTATAGAGGAGGGAGAAAGAGGATGAGTGGGTAAGAAGAAAAAAATAAAATAAAATATTTATTTGTTTATTTTTCTTTCTTTGAAAAGGAGAATAGAGGAGAGAGCAGATAGGCCTGAATTTAGGAAGTCAAAATAATTTAAAAATTAGGAGAAGAAAAGAGCAAGATAGGTGAGGGAAAAAAAATGACTAGTGAAGAAAGAGAAAAGAGAAGGGGAAATGGAGTAGGAGCAGGGAAGAGGAAATTAGATATATTAATAAGCCAACAGAGTCTACAATAACAACAACACATCAATGAAGGCGAGCAAGAAGATCAATTTTTAACAAGGAGTAAAAAGAATGGAAAGAGAAAAACTAAACAGAGATGAGAGAAGAAAAACGGAATGAAAAGGGAGAAGGGAGGAAGAAAAAGATGAAAAAAAGAAGATAAAACATAACAAAAAATAAAAATAGAATAAAGAAAAAAATACTAAAAAAATAAAAAAGTGAAGTGTCAATTCAGCCTAGTTTTAATGCCACAGGGGGGCTGGTTTAGGACCCCACTCCTCTGTTCTGTCTGACAATTCTGGGCTTCCAGTTAGGCAGTTAGGTGCTGACCACTGTCAGGCATTGTCTTTGGCGTTCAGCACTGTGTTAAATCTCCAAGTGATCCACTGCTCCTATGTAGGTGTCTGTCTCCACAGGCCTTGGCTTCCTGCAGGTGGGAGCAATCTGCCCTCTTTACCTGTCTGCCAGCTGTCAGTCTTAGTCACTCAAGTGTCTGACTGGGCTTTAGGTGGGCGTGGTGCTGTTTTGCTTTCTGGGAATTACTAGTAGATTGATGTTTTTCCCCTCACCCAGAGCTACTCCTCTGCGAGTTTCCCAAAGTATTACTCTGGCCTTGGTTGTTCAGAGCTCCTTGTATGGAGACCAGTGGGGTTGGCTGGCAACCTGGAGATTTTATCAGTCTGGTTCCCAGAATAGTGGGCCTGACAGGCCCCTCTTCCAACCCAGGCACGGAGGGCTCTTTGGGGGCTATTCAGAGCCTGTGTTCCCTTTGTATAGCTCAGAATGCAGGCAGGGTGTGACAAGCTGTATTCCCTACCTTGAGGCCACTGGGAGGGACTAGCTCTTCTGGGGGGAAAAGGCCATTTAGGTTTGGAAGGTTATGAATGTCCTAATGTTGGATTTCTAGTCTCTCCCTGCCCTGCTTCCCTCCACAGCCTCTCCTCAGATGCCACAAATATGCACCACATCCCCGGGTATGTTTGCAGTTGAAAAGGCCTGTGTACTGGGTTTAGGGAATAAAAGCAAAGACAAAAGAAAGGCAAACAACCACAAAACTGTGGGTTTCTCTCCCCTGCCCCCGGCACTGCACTGTTTGGGCTGTTTTTCAGGGTGCAGCCCTCACAGCTGTGGTCTTATACCTAGATTCGCCAGCCACCGGTAGCCCTAAGTCTCTTCCATTTCACAGGTGGGTTTTACGCCTGTTGCCAAGGGATGCGGCTTTGGTGCAGTGCAGCTTCCTCCTCACCGTCTGGCCCGGTGGTCTGTGTCCCTCTCCAACCCAGATCTCCCTTCCTACCATTCTACAGGCGCCTTCTGCTCCTCCTTGTTGTGAATTATCTCCTCAGCTGTGTCCAATTTGCTAATTCCGGTGGATGTTCTCTGATTTAGTTGCCTTTCCAGTCTGGCTCTGGGACGAGGTGCATGACATGTCTGCCTCTTTAGCCCCTTTTTTCTCCCCCCAGAGAACATTTTGACGGTTGCCAGGCCAGACGGGAGTGGGGTTAGGGGAATGGGTGGAAAAGGTGACAGGGTAAAGAAGTACATATGGTAGTTACAGAATAGTTATGGGGATGTAAAGTACGGCATACTGAATATAGTCAATAATATTGTAATAACTATGAATGATGTCAGATTTATTGGGTGATCACTTAGAAGTTATATACGTCAATGTCTAATCACTTGGTTGCACACCTGAAACTACTGTAATATTGTGTGTCTGAAATTGAAAAATAAAAAATTTAAAAAGTTAAAACACTGAAGAAGGTAAGACAGCATAGGAAAAAGGATTACATGAAGTTACCTATTTGGACTCTAAATGATTAAAGTGTACATCTTAAAAAGGAAGGTACTTTAGGTATATTATTAGGTGAGCATATGCCAGGTGAAGTGATTCGATTAGTATTTTTCAGTTGTCTATTTCTGATGATTTTTAAGAAAGATTGAAACTATACTTGCAGTAAATAAAGATGACTTATTTGTGAGTTCAGTGCTTGAAATAATCTCTAGTGCAGCCAAACCTCTTTGTATATACTTAAACATAGAAACGTTAAACAATTTATAGAAATACCAGGCTAAAAATAGTTTCTTGCCTTTATGTATACTTCTTATCAATCAGCAACTGATATCCTTGAAAAAATAAGAATCTTGCAATCATTTAATATTTACACTGGGTTTAAGAATAGGTTTATGAGTCAGTTTTGAGCAAGGCTGATAAAAGATTTTTGCTTTGTTAGTTTTTAGTCATAGTACATAAAATATCTGGAGGCAATATTGATATATTTGGAGAGAGATATCTGAATCTGGAATTAGTTGGTTTGGGTTTAAATTCCAGCTGTATAAAATAATACTGCTGTGCATTTTCCAGTAAATCATTAAACCCTTGGAGATTTAATGTTCTCATGTGTAAAATTAGACTAATACTAGTAATACTTCCTTACTTTACACAGTTGTTATAAGGTTCATATCAAAATAGTAAAGTACTATGCCAATGTAAATTATAATAATTTTTAATATTAATTAAAGTCTGAGAATGCCTGGGATTTAAATTCTATGGAAAAGGATTCATGATTCTACCTATTGATACTTATTTTTCAGCAGTCAAAGGATAATAAGGTAGACTTATCAATTCACATAACATAGGTCTTTAAATGTTACTAAATTCTAGTGCATCATTTAATTACTAACAGTGTATATTAAGGCACTTAAACACTATTTTTATCATCATTAACTTCATAACTAATAATTTTAAAATGAAACTTTTTCTTTAGTTAATGAAAGTCATATTGTGGTACAAGCATTGAGGCTTAACACTATGTCAAAGTTTACATTTGCTGATTGCACTCGGTTTGATGCACTGATCAAAGATGTGTTTCCTGGAATTGACTTTAAAGAAGTAGAATATGATGAACTGAGTGCTGCATTACAGCAAGTCTTTGAGGAGGCCAATTATGAAATCATACCCAATCAGGTAACTGTCAAGAATATTTATACTACATCGACCCTTCCTACTAGTTAATTCCTTATTACCTATCTATTCTTTATCTTTCAACTTACCTTTCGTCATTCCACTTAAATCTTATTTGCTCAGGGAAGCCTTTCCTGATCTTTAGGTCCAGATTAGTTCACCTTGTTACCTGCTTTCATTACTCTTGTTATATAGGGTGTCCCTTAAAAATGTAAACATACTTTAACAGCTCAGTTTTGAAAATGAAATTTATTTGAATAAACTGGTTTTATAATTATCCAAAGCGTGTGTATGCATTTTTTTGGATACCCTATATACATTTGTTTAGGGTTTCATTTTGTATTTGATTAATACTGATTCTCCCTCATCAGCTAGTAGTCTCCATGAAAGGCAGGATTCATATCTATTTTTGCTCACCATTTTATTCCTATTGCCATTTACAGAGCCTGGCATATAACAGATCCATTTTATATGAATGTTATATTTAAAATGGTGATGTTCACCTTCATCACTTATTTTAGTGTTGTCAGTTTCTTAGCAGTTCTTTTTAGTAGGTCGTTTTATGTAGCACAAGTACATGTTTAAAATGAACACTTTGTTTCTCTCTTTTTTTTTGAGGGACACAGGATATAAATAAATGAACAAGTGAATAAAATAATAAATATAGTATATTGATGAGTGAGAGAAGAACATAATAAACATGTATTGTCAAATAACTTAGAAAACGTTTTTTTTAAGGAAATACTGGATTTAAAGATTACATTGTATATATGTTCAGATTTATTTAGGAATTTTTTTTTTTTAAGGCTTTATCTTCCACTGAAGAAATCAAAGGCTTAATTTGCATACAATAACTGTTATAGAATGAGTGCAGAGATGTGGATATTGTGTACTGTAAGTCATTTTTTACCATGTTCTTTTCTACTAGGTCAAGAAAGCTTTAGAATTGTATGAACAATTACGCCAGAGGATGGGAGTTGTTATTGTTGGTCCAAGTGGTGCTGGAAAATCAACTCTATGGAGAATGCTAAGGGCAGCACTTTTTAAAATTGGCAAAGTGGTAAAACAATATACCATGAATCCCAAAGCTATGCCTAGACATCAATTATTAGGCCATATTGACATGGATACAAGGGAATGGTCTGATGGTGTTTTGACAAATAGTGCTCGCCAAGTAGTTCGAGAACCTCAAGGTTGGTCTTTGTTGTGTGAATCATTGCTGTACTAAATTTTAGTGGGTGATAGATCTTGTGTATAATGCTGTTCTTATCAAGTCTTATACATGACCATGAACTGCTTTTTTTTTTTTTTTAATCCTCACTCAAGGGAAGGGGTGGGGGGGGGAGAGAGAGAGAGAGAGAGAGAGAGAGAGAGAGAGAGAGAGAAAGAGAAAGAGAAAGAAAGAGAAGAGAGAAACATTGATGTGAGAGACACATTGATTGGCGGCAGCAGGGATCAGACTTGCAACCCAGGTAGGATCAGACTTGCAACCCAGGTAAGTGCCCTTGATTGGGAATCGAACCCACAACCTTTCGATGCAAAGGCCGATTCTCTACCACTGAACCACACCAGTTAGGGCCATGAACTGCCTTTCAATGATGTATATTGATATTTTACTTTGGAGGGGCCCAAGACATGCTATAATTTTGACCTATACTCTGTAGCAACTTTTATTATAATAGGAACTCAAAGTAATCTGGGTGAGTTGAAGTTCACAACTAGATTAATTTACTGAATAAATACACAATTTTTGATTGCTGAGTTGATACCATATGTCTCATAAATAAGCAAGATGACAAATTTTTACTTAGGATTAAAATTGGTATCTGTACAGATACTTTTAACTCATCAGTTTGAATACAGTGTTTTAAATAATTTTGAAAATTTAAGTTGTAAAATAGTAGACTTCAATGTCTAAATTTTTTGGCTTGGTGGTTAAGGGAGTTTTTGGCCAGAATCAAGTGAAGACTTCCCTACTTTTTGTTAGTTCATAATTTTAGTTGTTTTTCTAAGCCAGTTAGTGAAAAGTTTAGATATCTAACACATTGAAAGGGATTTTCAATATAGTCTTTTCATTTTCAATGTAGTCAATAATATTACACTAACTAGAAACCAGATATTACCTATACTCTTTCTCACACTTTTTAAAAATCCTCACCCAAGGATATGTTTTTATTGATTTTGGAGAGAGAGGAAGGGAGAGAGAGAGAGGGAAACATCCATGTGAGGGAGAAACATCGACTGGTTGCCTCCCATACCTGCCCTGACTGGGTATCGAACCTGTAACCTAGATATGTGCCCAACTGACTAACCTGCCAGGGCTTTCTCACACTTTTGTTGTTGGTACTTTTCTCTTTGACTTGTTTTAAAGGTCCAAGTACAACTTGAAATCACTCTCATTTTAAGAGGAATGGATAAAAAAGATTTCTCCTGTGGAAAGACATATACATACTTGTCCACTACTTCTCCCCTTTAAAGTCACCTTTTTATATATCAAAAAGTTAGACAGTAGCGAATTTTTAAAATTTCTCTAAAGAGTAGGTTCTCAATATTTTCTAAAAAGAGATATTACATAACAAGCATTCATACATTCTTATGACATGGTGGAAGACAAAATTAAGGAAATAGAAATACTTAATTCTTGCACACCATGTTTTCTTTCAGTGAGATTTCATTTCCGTATGTTCATAGATAAATAGAATATTATCACATGCTATATAAGGTGATTGGCCAGCTGAGCCAGGATAATCCATGGGTCTCCAGCACATTTGTAGTGCACACTTACGTAAAAAATTTCAACTTGTTTGATGTTTTGTTCTTTATATTTAGCTTCAGTAATATAAAGTAATACTTTATGGAAATCACTTCTAAAGAATAAGAGAATTATTTATTCCTTATTTTTAATTATTATCATTGCATATATTTTTATCCTATCTTTACTTTTATGGTTTGAAAATAGATGTCAGCTCATGGATAATCTGTGATGGTGATATTGATCCTGAATGGATAGAATCTCTGAATTCGGTTCTGGATGACAATCGACTGCTCACTATGCCCAGTGGGGAAAGGATTCAGTTTGGCCCAAATGTTAACTTTGTATTTGAAACTCATGATTTAAGTTGTGCCTCGCCAGCCACAATATCTAGAATGGGAATGATCTTTCTTAGGTAAACCATAAAAGCAACTGCATATATTATATTAGAATATTCTTTATTACTGTGGTTTCATAGCTAAGTGAATTATGTATTTTATAAATATGTATAATTTTTTTCTTTTTTAAATTTTTTTGTTTGCGAAGTTTTAATTTATTCAGAGAGTTACTATTTTACTGCAATTGAATTATTTCAGCCATGTTGTCCTATCACAATTACTAAATAATTATTTTTGTTTGCTTAAGTGAAACAGAAAGTATTTAATTTATTTTCTTGTTTTTTCTATTACTGTTATTTAAACTTTAAAAAAAATCCTCACTGGAGGATATGGTCACTGATTCTAGAGAGAGGGGAAAGAAGGAGAGAGGGAGAGAGAGAAACATTGATGTGAGAGAGGAACATTGATTGGTTGCCTTCTGTACGTATGTACCCACTGGGATTCGAACCCACAACCTTTTGGTGTACAGGACGATGCTCCAACCAACTGAGCCACCTGGTCAGGGCAGAGGCTAACATTATAAAGCTTAGTGTTAATATTTTAATAATAGAATCTCAGATTTATAGAATTTTAGGATTAATCTAGGTTCAAATGATCTTATGATCCAACCTTTAATTTTACAAACTGTAAATCTCTTTTCTTAATACTTTTTCTTCTTCGTCAGTATCTGGAAGAGGCTTAAAGAGCAAAAATTAATAGTAAACTAATTTTAGATATGTACATGTCAGAACATGGACATTTGAGCCAGTTTTAGTTCCTGAAATGAGTAATGAGAAAGTTCTCTTTTACTTTTTGAATTTTTTTAGAATTTGATGTTTATCAGTCTGTATAAAGTGCTCTACTGTTTTAGGGCCATTTAAAGTGATTTTATGTGTTGTATGACATATAATATTATTATTACTTTGGTTTAAATTTATTGTTTCCAAAATTATTTCATTACTTATTTCTTTGAAACATTTATATTAAACTTGTCATAAACTCTAATTAACATTTTGAAATTTTATTAAAAATATAACATTGGGTTTATAGCTTTAGTAGCAATAGTTCACACAATTTATCTTGTTTATTTCATGTATTCTTAAAATCTTATGAAGAAATATAGGATAAAATAAAAAATTATAATTAAATTTTAAAATATGTATTGAATGTATATTATGTATTTGCCATAAAGTTAGTCATTTTAGGAGAGAGAAAGCAAGAAAGGATTAAAACTTGCACTTATAGAGAGCTTCTTTTTATGGAACATATGTTCAAGTAGAGGAAATAAATAAATAAAACAATTATAATACAAGATAGGATATAAGTAAAATAAACGGTGAGTAGAATGCCATGGATATTGCTGTAGAAATTTGAAAATTGTTGGTGAGCCAGATATTGTTTGTGAGAGGCATAATAAATATATGTGATTTCATGTAAAATATGAATACATATTAACATGTTTAATTAGGTTATACCTAAGTTTCATTTATTTCTTAAGCAGATATTTATTGAACACTGCTGTAGAATAAAACAAGAGAACTTTTAATAGTGAAAGAGACTACACCTGAAACTAATACAAAATAAATTAAACTACAATTGAAAAATAAAATTAAAAAATAGTGAACAAGAATGCTATTAATTATCCTGGGGCAATGAGTATAAACTCGGATTGCCTTGGACAAACCTGGAAGGCAGTTGCCTGAGGCATTAGGGAGATGCCATTAATGACAATGCCTTTATTTTGAAGGAGCTTGGAGTCTTTTGTTTGTAGGTTTTGAGATGATCTAATATAACTGAAATATTTACCTTTGATCTTTCCATTTTTCTTTTCCTTATTTGACTGGATAGAAATATGACAGGAGAAATTCAAGGGCTCAGTACTTAGTATTGTTGCTATGATACAGTGTTACAAATTAGGAAAAATAATGCACTTGTGGGCCCCTGTCAATTCTAAACAAATCTCTGCATTGTTTTTAGTATAATTATTTTATAATTATGTAATATATTATTTTGAATAATGTGTCAGTATGATATTTAATATCAGTCATGGGTGTTAGTCATATAATTAAGTGCCTTGCTACAAGAATTATATTATACTGTAGAAAGAGTTTTTAATGATGCCATGGGAATTTAGGTAGTTGACATTTTTGGGGATAGAGAAAAAGAGCAAGTATTTTTGAAGATCTGTGTTGAGATGCTGAGATAGGTTTCCATGAACTCTAATGTGCATTTGAATCACTCAGGGATTTTGTTAAAGTGAATATTTTGCTTTAGTGGGTCTGGGATGGGATTTGGGATTCTGTATTTCCAATAAGCAGACCACACTTTGAGTAGGGTGGGTTTAGTCTACTTTTTTGCTACGCTGCAGATAATATAATTCTTTAATTTATATTTATAGTAATACAGATGAAATTTATTTGCTTTATTTATGAAAATGATACCTTCATGTATGGGAATATAGAGAAGTAATTAACATATGCACCTGAAATCAACTCTTGTACACTAGCAGATACATGTATGGAGTGATTAATTTATTGGGCCAGTAATTTATTTTGAAAATAAATCGACAATTTCTACTTAAATAATTTCTTACATGTTTGTTCACCTGCTTTAGTGATGAAGAGACAGATATTAATTCGCTGATAAAATCTTGGTTGAGGAATCAGCCTCCTAAACATAGGAATAATCTTGAAAACTGGATTGGAGATTATTTTGAAAAAGCTTTACAGTGGGTTCTAAAACAGGTAAGTTAACTATATTATTTCACAATCATGTAGGTGAGAAGTATAATGATTAAGAGTGTTGTTTACGTAGAGTTGCCTTTTAGTAGAGCTCTGTCAGAATATGGGGTGGAGTAACAGGTAGGTGTCTTCATTACTGTCCTATATCTCTTGGCATAATGCTTTATTGTGTTAGTCTTAAAACACTTTAATCCTCCCATCCACAATATCTTGCACTGCCTACCTAAAAATCTTGAATACAGTGTATTGGAATATCTCTCTAATTTTATTTTTTAAAAATATATTTTTATTGATTTCAGAGAAGAAGGGAGAGGGGGAGAGAGAAAAACCTCAATGATAGAGAATCATTGATGGGCTGTCTCTTGGACGTCCCCTACTGGGTATTGAGCCTGCAACTTGGACATTTGCCCTGACCAGGAATTGAATCATGATCTCCTGGTTCATAGGTCATTGCTCAACCATTGAGCCCTTGCCTGCCTCTCTAGGTTAAGCCACTTTTCCTTTGCTTACTCAGACTTCTTTTAATTCCTTAACTTTATCAATGGTTTACCTTTGCATATGTCGCATGGCCAGATCTCAATTTTCAGATGTTAGTTTCAATGTCACTTTTTTCAAAGAGGCCTTGAACCCTCAATCTGACTTACCCTTTCTCAAAACACTGTTCTGCTCCTCTATAGCTCTTACCATAACTTGTTAACCATTTCCTCTACTAGACTTGAGTTCTATGATAAAAGTACTCCGTTTAGATCACTCTTAAAAAAATACCTAGCACTGCATACAGTTTCTGTGCATAATTGGTTCTTATTAAATACTTTTAGATTAATGAGAACCCTTTCTTGTCCTAACTCCCTGGCAGTTACACAGGGGCCCTAGAGGACCACAGATCAAAATTACCTATAGGACCTCAGTCCAAAAGTTTCATTTTAAAATTCTGCTAGGGAGAAAGTTCCAAATGCTTTTTCATTTAAGCTTGCTTTTTACTAGCTTTCTTGTCCAGCACTATCAATCTATCCCTTGCTTATAGCTTCTTTTTTTAATAGTAAGAGGAAATAAGAAGCTATTCTTTTTAAACCAATACTCATTAATTTACCTTTTCTTTATATTTTGTTTAGGAAGTAAACTATGTATCTATTTGAGGATTCTAATAGTTACAGCTAGAAATATGTAGTTGTGTTTTTTTATGATTACTTTTTATTTTCAAAGTTTATATTTTATACATAAATTGAATGAAATCTAAACTTTCTACAAGTTGAAAAGAGGGATACATTTAAAGATGATCCTTAGGAAAGATATGTAAATGCCAATCTGTATGTTCTGAGTTGACTAATTAATTGCCTTTTGTCTATACCATGGATTTTAAATAACAGAATGACTATGTGGTAGAAACAAGTTTGGTTGGGACTGTGATGAATGGTTTGTCACATCTACATGGATGCAAAGATCATGATCAATTTATTATAAATCTCATAAGGGGACTTGGTGGAAATCTGAATATGAAATCACGCCTGGAATTCACCAGAGAGGTAATACAGTTTAAAGCCTATATTCAGTGCACATTAAAAAAATATTTTCATTGACTCTTAATTGCCAAAATTACCTGTAACTATAAGGTACAGAACTTTTAATTTTGAAATTATGCATTCACTAGAATAATAATGCACTTAAATACATGTACATACGCATGTATACTTATATTTCTGTTTTGAACTAGTTTGTATTTTATATTATTAAAATTTTATATAATTACATTCTAATAGAATAAAATTTGCAACAAATCTTTTCTGTTAGACATTTTGAACCTACTTTGCTATGTGAATAAATATAATTATTTCTTTTTAATCTTAGAATAATAAATTTTTAAAATCATTTGTTTAACCAGAACAGTTTTAGCATTAGGATTGCTAAGATGTATTAATCATTATAAATATTTGTTTAAATAAATGTAAAGATATAGTTTACCTAAGCTGTTTATAAAACTGAATTCTACATGTTAAGGGATTTCTTTATATTGGCCTTAGTTGAAATAATTGAACATAAGTTCCTTTGAGTTGACTCCAACATTATGTTTCTTAATTTTTATCATTTTGTTTATTTTTCGATATCATCATTTATTACTTTCTCTATTGTTTCCCTTTCCATGGTGATTCTGTTGCCAACTATTTCTCATTGTTGCTACTCAATGCCATAAGATATATTGCATTTAGGCAGATATTCTCTTGCCAAAGCTCATAATAAAGACGTTGAAAAGTACCATAAGGAGCTAACTCTGCTTTATATCTTGGAAAATAAGAGTTTTTAAAGGAGAAAGAGGAATAACAGGTAGAGAGCAATGAACAATGGTGGTAACATTGGGATTGAACATGGTGGAAATGAAGGGTCTAGGATTCCTACATTGTGTAATTTATAATTTAGTGTTCATAAGAACTCAATTAAAAAATGAATATTTTTATACCTTGGTGTATATGTAAAGTACTGACATTTATTTATTTGCTTAAACAATCGTTTAGGGAATATTTGAGATAAAATGTTACTTTAATGATAAAAGATATTTAGTAGGTTTATAGTATGTGAACTTGTTTGAACTAAGATGTTTCTCTTTGGGACATTTACTTTTAAGAATTAAATTTTCACATACTCTGTCACAACTTTTCCTCTTAAGGTTTTTAATTGGGCACGAGAATCTCCTCCAGATGCTCACAAACCAATGGACACCTACTATGACCCGAGTCAAGGCCGATTAGCATCGTATGTGCCGAAGAAGCCGGAAAATTTGACTGCTGATGATTTCAGCAATGTCCAGACACTTCCAGTCATCCAGACTCCTGACATGCAGCGGGGTCTAGATTATTTCAAACCCTGGTTAAGTTCTGACACTAAACAGCCATTTATTCTTGTAGGACCAGAAGGATGTGGCAAAGGGTAAGCAAAAAATGTTAATGGAGGTGTACATTGTGAATTTGTGCTTCTCTCCTCTTTAAAAATGATTTAATAGCTTTTCTTTCTTTTATTTATTTATTTATTTATTTATTTATTTATTTATTTATTTATTTATGTTAAACTAGCACTTCTATTTTCATGAAGGACTCTTTCATTGCCACTACTTATAAAAATAATATGACTATGGAGAATAATATGTTTTTTTTTTCTGCCAGGTTATCTATTTTCTAATGGAAAGAGAATAATCTAGAAGATACTTATAAAAGAATCTGTTCATAAAATCACAACAAAAAATGAATACCTTAGATGTACTCACAAATTAGCATTTGCTTTATTTTATAAAAAGTGAATTTTGACATTAGATCTCTATTTGAAAATAGCTTTTTATTCAGTGGAATCCAGCCTATTTTTAGTGTCTGTGAGTATAGTTTCTGGAGATAAATGAGACAAAGATTATTAGTTTCACATTTCTAGTAGTAATTAAAAAATTCTATCAAGTCATAGTAATTTTTCCTAATTTGGAGATCTTAATATCTTAAAATATTCTCTTCAACTGTGGAGAAACAGTTGGTATCTTTAATATATACTTTATGAAATGAAGTTATTTCTGAAAACTTGGTTTGTTGTTGTTGAAAGAGTCCCAGGATTGCCTTAAAATATGAATATATTTTTTCCAGTCTAAAAATTAGAAAGTTACCATATCCATTTTACCATTTCTCCTTAAACATCATCACGCATATTTTAGAAAATGAAATATTTATAAAATAGAAATTTTATATTGAATATAAAAAGTATCTTATTGGTTGTATTTTTAAAGTCAAATGTCATACATCTTCCATAGGATGCTGCTGAGGTATGCCTTTTCCCAACTCCGGTCCACTCAAATTGCTACGGTTCACTGTAGTGCACAAACTACGTCTCGGCATCTCCTGCAGAAACTGAGCCAGACCTGCATGGTAATCAGTACTAATACTGGTCGAGTATACAGACCCAAAGACTGTGAAAGACTTGTTTTGTACTTAAAAGATATCAACCTACCCAAACTTGACAAATGGGGCACCAGTACTTTGGTAGCTTTTCTGCAACAGGTGAGCCTTATCACTTGAAGTGTTTTGATATAATTGTAAACCAGCTTACTTTCATTAATTTTTTTAACTTTATTTTTATTGTTGACACTATTACAGATATCCCCATTTTCCCCACCTTTGCCCACGTCCATCCAGCCTCTGCCCTTCCTTCACTCTAGAAAAATTTCTGCTTTCTTCCTTAGAGACAGTTTTATCTAGCATGTGTCATGGGAAATCAAACTCTTGAGGCATCTCAGTTTTGTTCCAGGTCTACTTTCTTTGACCTTCCTCCATGTAGAAGTTAGTATTACATCAAGTTGATACATGACAAGAAGAGTAAAAGCAGCCTTTACTCTATACCAGCGGTTCTCAACCTGTGGGTCGCGACCCCTTTGGGGGTCGAATGACCCTTTCACTGGGGTCGCCTAAGACCATCAGAAAACACATATATAATTACATATTGTTTTTGTGATTAATCACTATGCTTTAATTATGTTCAATTTATAACAATGAAAATACATCCTGCATATCAGATATTTACATGACGATTCATAACAGTAGCAAAATTACAGTTATGAAGTAGCAACGAAAATAATTTGATGGTTGGGGGTCACCACAACATGAGGAACTGTATTAAAGGGTCACGGCATTAGGAAGGTTGAGAACCACTGCTCTATACCTATTACATATCCTTCATTCCTAAAAGGAGGAAAGCAGAAGCTCAGGATGGTGCTGGAGTTGGGGAAGTTTTCAGTTTTTTAGGTTTGCATTCTGAGAGCAGATAGACTTCCTCAGACATGCCCCTTCTGGCTGCTTTAGTTCATTAGTCTCCCTCTCTCCCTGTGTAGGTATTGGAGACCATACATTCTCAGTCAGTGTGGAAGATTTTATTTCTTTGTCTGATTTACATCACATTAGAAACCCTAAATTCTAAATTAGAACTTATATGCTTATATATCTGCAAGTCTACATTTACTACATTACTGCAAAAAGAATAAAATACTTATAGAACAAACCAAAATTTTTTCCCTTATACTTTTTTCTGATTTCTTTCACTTTTTAAAAAATAATTGCTGATGTATTTATACTGTCATCTGGATTTTACTGTTTATTAGAGAGAAAGCATTTGAAAAGATAGTAATTCAGCTAACAATCATTGAACACAGTCTTTTTTTTAAGTTTTATTTTATTGTTTAAAGTATTACATATAGTATTACATATGTCTCCTTTTCCCCCCATTGACCTCCCCCCGACCAACCCTCTTCTACCTCCCTGTCCCCCGGCACATGCCTTCACCCCCCTAGTGTCTGTGTCCATTGGTTATGCTTATATGCATACATAAAGTCCATTGGTTGATCTCTTACCCTCACCCTCCACCCCTCCCCTGCCTTCCCACTGAGGTTTGACAGTCTGAACATAGTCTTGACCAGTGTTATCTTTCAATGATATAAGAATTTAAAGTATATTTCAATTTTTAATTCTTGAGATAGGTAGAGGATGATGATTACATTTGGAAATAATTGAATTTTATGCAAAAATATATCATGATTAGAAAATCTTAAACATTAAACTTTTATTTTTAAATTTGCTTTCAAATAGGTATTGACATATCAAGGATTTTATGATGAAAATTTGGAATGGGTTGGTTTAGAAAATATTCAAATTGTGGCATCTATGTCAGCTGGAGGAAGACTGGGAAGACATAAGCTTACTACCAGATTTACTTCTATTGTTCGTCTTTGTGCTATAGAGTATGTATCTTAGTGTTTTAAATTTATTTTTTAACTTGGGGAGACATATTTGCATTTTATTAAAGGTATCATTAGTGATATTTCTTCAAAATGCAGCATATACAAATAGTCTAAACTTAAGCTCCTGCCCTTCTCAAACTATAGGCAATAATTTAGGATAAAGGCTTTTTAAATCAACACTTCTTATATATTAGAAATAAATACAACTGTTTTGTATTTTCTTTGTTCTAGAATAGCAATATCAGGAATCAAAATGGTACATTTTAGATTTAAATGTTTTATGATTTTATAAAACAAAAACCTTATTAGATTTTATAAAGATAACTAAATAGATTATTTATTTATTTAAAATACTAGAGGCCCGGTGCACGCATTCGTGCACAGGTGGGGTCCCTTGGCCTGGCTGGTAATGGGGGCTGATCGGAGCTGTCTTGCCAGGGGGAGGGACTGTGGGAGGTTGGCTGTGGGAGCACACTGATCACCAGGGGGCAGCTCCTGCATTGAGTATCTGCTCCCTGGTGGTAAGTGCGTGTCATAGCGATCTGTTGACTGGTTGGCCGTTGCTTAGGCTTATATATATATACTAGAGGCCAGGTGCATGAAATTGTGCACCCCTTCAGCCCAGCCTGCACCCTCTCCAATCCAGGATCCCTCTCGCAATCCAGAACCTCTGGCTCCTAACTGCTCACCTGCCTGCCTGATTGCCCCTAACCATCTCTGCCTGCTGACCTGAGGCCCCTAACTGCTCCCCTGCCAGCCTGATTGCTCCCTAACTGCTCCCTCCAGCTGGCCTGATCGCCCCTAACCGCCTCTGCCTCAGCCCCTGCCACTGTGGCTTTGTCTGGAAGGACATCTGGAGGATGTCTGGTCTAATTAGCATATTACCCTTTTATTAGTATAGAAGATAGACTAGAGGCCCAATGGTAGGTCCCCTAGCGGCTACTGACTGCCGGCTGGATACTTCCTCTCTTCCCCTGGCCGCCTGCTGCCACCGCCACCGCCACTGGCTGGGGCCTCCCTTCCTCCTCCCAGCCACCTGCCACTGCCGCCGCCAGCTGGGGCCTCCTGCTGCCACCAGCTGGGGCCTCCCTCCCTTCCCCCTGCTGGCCCAGCCCCCTGGTCGAACTCCTGTACGAACTCCTGGTCAAGGGGATAATTTGTATACTACACTTTTATTATATAGGATATTTTTATTCATTTCAGAGAGGAAGAGGCAGGGAGAGAGAGATAGAAACATCAATGATGAGAGAGAATTCATTGATTGGCTGTCTCCTGCACGCTCCCTACTGGGAATTGAGCCTGCAACCTGGGCATGCCCTTGACCAGAATCGAGCCCAAGGACCCTTCATTCGGCAGGCTTATGCTCTCTCTACTGAGCCAAACCAGCTAAGGGCATAAACAGATAATTTAAATCTGAAGAAAGTAAAGTTAGGTTATGTTTGTGACTGATGGCATTACTCTAATAATACATCCACCCGTCTCCATGGTCCATAACTGTTACAGGAATTTGCAATTTTATGCTTATGGCACTACATTCTCTGATATATTTTGCCTTATAAAATCTAGGTTTTATGTTTTCATGCTAATTGTAACCATATATTGACATTCTTCTTTCAAAAATGTTACAGCCACCGATTAAGCTGTATTGAGATAGATTTTAGCCCTTGCTGGCTTGGCTTGGTGGATAGAGCATCAGTCTGTGGACTGAAGGGTCCCAGGTTCGATTCCAGCCAAGGGCACATGCCTGGGTTGCGGGTTTAATCCCCAGTAGGGGATGTGCAGGAGGCAGCCGATCACTGATTCTCTCTCATCATTGATATTTCTAGCTCTGTTTCCTTTTCCCTTCCTCTCTGAAATAAATAAAGAAATATATTTTAAAAAATGATGTTTTAGTTCCTTGCATTCTTACCCAGTGGGTTCTTGGCTTATTCAGATATGACTTAGAAGGAGGTAAGTTTTGCTTTCATGATTTCTGTTCTTTATTTGTTGTATTAGTTCTAGTTTTAGTTCTGAGGTGGATTACTGCTCTATGTACAGGCTCTACATAACTCAAAGTGCCTTATCTTAGGGAAAATTTTCCTTTTACCCTTTTCTAAAGATCAGTGATTTTTCAATCAATTATATTTGTTAAGTAATTTTGTTGGAATCCTCTATTAGGACCCTCAGTATTTTACAACAGATAATTAGGGATCTAATTTGGTTGACGTGAGAATAGGGATTTTGAGCTTGGCCTTAGCCCCTGAGTAAATTTTGGAGGCAACTAGGTCTCAAAGCAGCACAGTTTGAAAACCACTGCTATAACTTAACATTAAAATAATAATTTAGATTTATGATTTATTTCAGCTTCTTTTAAAAAATATTTATTTTAACTTTCTTTTTCAGTTACCCAGAAAGAGAGCAATTACAGACAATTTATGGGGCATATTTGGAACCAGTTTTACATAAAAATTTGAAGAATCATCCTATTTGGGGTTCTTCATCAAAAATTTCTCTCTTAGCAGGATCTATGGTACAAGTGTATGAACAGGTATATGTTTATTTATAGTACGTCGTGTTTTTCATGTCTGTTTGTATCACTTCAAAGGACGATCTTTAATCTTGCCCTCTGTTGATGTTTAGACTTTCTCTTCCTGTTGTTAGACCTTTTAACTAGAGGGTCAGCTCTGTGAGGGCAGATGCTCTTTGTGCTTTATTCACTATTGTATTCCCTGGCAGTTTCAAGTAGACACCCAGTAAATATTGACTGAATGAATTAGTGGATGGATGGTTATTCTTCTATCAGCTCAAATTGAGAATATTTAGAATGGAGTTCACCTTTTTTCCAAAACTAAATCTTTCTCTTGAGTTCTGTTAGTTGCTATCTCCCAGCTTCAAACCCAAGAGTAGTGTTTGATGTTTTTTTGTTTTGTTTGTTTTTTGTTTTCCTTGTTACCTGTGAGGAAATGTCTACAGTATCCTTCTTTGATGGAGTGGGATGATGCTTGAAAACAGGCATTAAGAATGGCAGAGGACATTTACTGAGTACAGTCTCTTTCCGCACTAATCGTAGCGATGCAAAGATGACTGAGTCTCTGTTCTTTTGAGGCTCACAGTCTAATGAGGGACCTAGTCATATAAATACACTATTAATACAGTTCACAAGTATGACAACAGTATGCACAAGGTACAGAGAAAGTGTAGAGAAGGAATAAATGACTTTGTTGTGTGTGGTAGTTAAGGGGAGGTGAAATGTGATTTGAATTTTGAAAAATGAATAGAAATTTGCAAAGTGCCTGGAGATGAAAGGTCTTCCTGGGTAAAGCGAATAGTATGTGAAAGTTATGAAAGTGTTTGTGGAAGTTGCTTTTTATAGTATTGAAGTAGAAGTAGGGAAAGATAAGTTAGAAAGTAATAAATTCCTTCTGTTTTAAAAATTTAATTCAAATGTTCAATGATCAAGGCCAGAATAAGAGCAGTGGCTCTGTCCATATGGAGGAAGGACAGGCTTTTTACTGGTTATCTATTAGAGAGTGACACTTTGATGTGTTAAAAGTTCAGTGGCTTCTTGAACATAAGTTAACTAGCTCTGTGGTTCCCGCCATTAGAAAATGGGTCTTACCTGGATCTGTGAGTGCCTTGGAATTACAACCACTATTTCATAAAGCTTAGGTTTGAATTTCTTTCTTTAGAAGCACTTTTTAACATTTTATTTTATTATTATTTTATTTTTTGGCAGTTTGTCGAAGCCTATGAACAACACTTCTCATGTAATGTTTTTAACTTCATAAAATATAATATGCAAGATAACTAAGGAAGTCACTTACATTGAAATACAGTCCCATCCACTGGTAGAAACTGGCATTCCTGTGAGTCTACATAACTGAAAAGTAGTCAGATGATTTACTGTATTTTCTTTTATAGGTGCGGGCCAAATTTACAGTTGACGATTATAGTCACTATATTTTTACTCCTTGCATTCTTACCCAGTGGGTTCTTGGCTTATTCAGATATGACTTAGAAGGAGGTAAGTTTTGCTTTCATGATTTCAAATCACTTACCTTTCTTAGAATGCCATAGTGTGTGTTTGTGTGTTTGTGTGTCTGTGTGTATCTTTACGCTATCTATTGTTTGTGATAGCTACGTTAAATGAATATTGTAACTATTTATAGTATTTAAAAAAACTGTGAGATAATATTAATGTAATTTAAATGAACATTAAAAATAAAATAATATTTTATTATGTTTTCTCATATAAACTATTTATGTTTACCATGATTAAAACATGGTTTTGGGAAAAATGAAATTATAATTCTTTGTAACCAAATTATGTTTAATATGCTTTTTGGGATTAATATTTTTATTGAACAACTAGAGATAATAGTGCCTAACTTTAAATAATAGAAAAATTTACCAACTCGTTAACCCAATGAATTTAAACTTCTTTTTCTCTTTTTTTCTATTTGTCTGATGCCAAAATTATGGTATGTAGATTTTCACTATTTCTAATAATATGCTGAAACTGACCACTTTCAAGTCATTTTAATTTTATTACAATTAAAGAAAATTTTGCCTTTTTTAGGATCGTCAAACCATCCACTAGATTATGTATTAGAAATTGTAGCATATGAAGCACGGCGCTTATTTCGTGACAAAATTGTTGGTGCAAAGGAACTTCATTTATTTGACAACATTTTAACGTCAGTGTTTCAAGGAGATTGGGGGTCAGATGTATTAGACAATATGGCAGGTAATATAGTTACTGAGTTTATTTAAATAAATAAATGTTATGAGAACTTCAATTTACTAGTAGCATGATTGTGTATGTCTAAACAAATAAAAATTTCAGATAACTTTAATCATAAGGGGTTGCTCTGTCATCTTTTGCTAGGTGTCAATAATTATATTCCACACAAACTATGATGACAATAATTGTTTTTCTGGGGGAAGAAAGGGTTCTGGCCAAAGCATTTTACATTTGCAATTCAAAATTGTATTTCTTGAAGGAGTTTTACTAATGAAGTTTTTAATAGTTATATATGTATGAAACTTAAAAATTATTGTGAAAATCCATATTTGATGAAAATGAACTTTAGCTTGAAAGTAATGGCCATTCTCATTCCTGTCACTGTTCATAATGTCAGCACAGAACTATTTATTTTTGTTACTAACTTCACTCATTGTTATGGTAAACAAAGCATAACATCATGTAGTCAAAGCAGCTATGTTGCATTTGCAATTATTACTGCTTAATAACAAATTTGCATTTTGAAAATTGCTGTAGGAATAATGCATGTGATGAAAATCATCATGGTGAAAAGACTTTTGATAAAAAAGGACCGTATTATGGAAATATTTCTTTTCTTTTTTTTTTATTTATTTATTTATTTTTTTTTTCGCTATAAGTATTACAAAGGGTATTACATAAGTGTCCTTTTTCCCCCCCGCCCACCCTTGACAAGCCCCTGCCCTCCCTTACCCCCCAGTGTCTTATGTCCATTAGTTATGGTTATATGGATGCATACAAGTCCTTCGGTTGATCTCTTACTCCCCTCCCTCCTGTCCCCCAACCCTCCCTGGCCTTCCCACTGCAGTTCGACAATCAGTTTGAGGCAGCTCTGCCACTGTATTTATTATTGTTCGAAAGTTTGTAATGGTCTTAATTATCCACGAAAGAGTGAGATCATGTGGTATTTTTCCTTCATTGACTGGCTTGTTTCACTTAGCATAATGCTCTCCAGTTCCATCCATGCTGTTGCAAATGGTAAGAGTTCCTTCTTTTTAACAGCAGCATAGTATTCCATCGTGTAGATGTACCACCGTTTTCTAATCCATTCATCTACTGATGGGCACTTAGGCTGTTTCCAGATCTTAGCTATGGTGAATTGTGCTGCTATGAACATCTGGGTGCATATATCCTTTCTGATTGGTGTTTCTGGTTTCTTGGGATATATTCCTAGAAGTGGGATCACAGGGTCAAATGGGAGTTCCATTTCCAATTTTTTGAGGAACCTCCATACTGCCTTCCATAGTGGTTGCACCAGTCTGCATTCCCACCAGCAGTGCACAAGTGTTCCTTTTTCTCCACATCCTCTCCAGCACTTGTCGTTTGTTGATTTGTTGATGATGGCCATTCTGACAGGTGTGAGATGGTACCTCATTGTTGTTTTGATTTGCATCTCTCGGATGATTAGTGACTTTGAGCATGTTTTCATATGTCTCTTGGCTTTCTGAATGTCCTCTTTTGAAAGGTGTCTATTTAGATCCTTTGCCCATTTTTTGATTGGATTGTTTATCTTCTTTTTGTTAAGTTGTATGAGTTCCCTATAAATTTTGGAGATTAAGCCCTTATCAGATATGACGTTGGCAAATATGTTTTCCCACGAGGTGGGTTTTCTTGTTGTTTTGTTGATGGTTTCTTTTGCTGTGCAGAAGCTTTTTATTTTGATGTAGTCCCATTTGTTCATTTTCTCTTTAGTTTCAACTGCCCTAGGAGCTGTATCAGTGAAGAAATTGTTTTGGCATATGTCTGAGA